AATAAGACATGAATACTCTTTATAAATATAAGGAACTTCAGGTCCGTACATCATATTCAATTTACATCCATTCCAATAATCTAACTTCAAGTAAGTACATAATACTATAATTGAATGAGAAGGTAAAAATAATATGAGAACCTACTACTTCACACTTTAATAAAAACATACCTGAATCGATTGAATCAACTATACTGTCGGATCGATCAACTATATCAATATATTGCCTGATATAGCTTAATTAGAAAATAGAAACAAGCACATAAGCAACCAATATTAACACGTTCACGTTAGTGGAAACCACATGGTTCATATCATACTTGAAATATAAAAACATAATTCAATACATAAATTATAAATAGTTTCACATGTGCTTTAGGCTTACTTAGTACAATTTACAAACATTCAAGGCATTAGACATGGGTAAATAATTGCTAAATCAAACCATTCATATTTGCTATCAAGCATAGAGAAATAACCAAACTCATTTACACATAGGAAAAGTAATACCAAAATCTAGCAAATAAATGTACTACAAGTTCATGAAAACCACACGTTCATAAAATTAACCCCAATAATAATTTTAAATACCTTTTAGATTCAAACTAAACAAAACTCATAGTCAAAATAAAACTACTAATTAGTTATTCTGCATCAAATCCAACTATTCCCAAATTGCTCATTGAACTCCAGGAATAATAAAAATACGAAAATTTGGGAAACAATATAAACATATTATGTAAAGGTTTAAAATTAACAATAACAGCATAGTTGAGAATGAACTTTCCTGATATAAAAACCTTGTCCGCTATAAAAACTAGCCTTATCGTCAACTTCATGTTGTCAACGTCATCTGCTAGCCTGTAACTCATGAAAACATCAATGAAAAGAAAATAAAGTATAGCCCTTGATTAAGGCTAATCTATTATAAAGTAGTTCTTTGTAACCAAATTATTAATACCGTGAGACTCCTTGTACTAGTCCCAAATAAATTAATGAGGATTGAGAATGATATGACATTTTTGAAACGTGTGATTTCATTATTAAAAGATCAAAACCCATGATCAATATTAATCTCCTTCTAATTTCTTCCCAAGATGCGACACAACAAGATAATAATGAGCATAATTTAGCACATTCAGTATACAACGGATTAATCATTAACCTAAGAAATCAACAATAAAATTTACATATTGATTAGAGCTTTGGTGTTGATAACGTGTTATAAAAGGGGGAAAGATGAGAGATTGAGAGAGAATTAATTTGTTCATATTAATTCCATATGATAGGGATATATATATATATACATAGAATATTATAAGTAGGGTTTGCTTAGATAAGAATAAACCCTAAATCTAGAATATTCTGGAAGCATACAAAGAGGATAATGGATATCCACACAATATTTTCATAACAATTAATTGTTTTTTGCCATTAATTTAATGTCAAATCATTTTTAAATTTAAAATATTCAGATATCAAGAATTCTTCTATTTACCATTTTATTCACACAAATATAATTCCAAATTTCATTTTTAAATTTCAAAACCTCAAATTTCAAAATTTAAGAACAACTATAAAGAACATAATTAAATTATATACCTTAAAGAACACTATTTGTAACATAAGGAACATATAGTTTAGATTCAAAAAACATATTGATCAAACTCCAAAAACATATATTATTCCAACTAAATAGTGATAAAAGAACATTTATTAGAATATAAAGAACATCATCTTCAACCTTTGAAAACAACACCAAATTAAAAAAAAAAAAATTGAAGAACTCATCATCTGCAACCTTTGATTATATTTTCTCAACAACGAATTCGTCAATTATAGCTTTCAATTAAAACATTAATCGATCGAAACAATATAATCAACTCCATAATAACATTAAATCACTTCGAAATTTAAATTTTACCATAATTTCTCGCTATATAAACTCGATTTCTCTCTCTTTAACAAAAAATGTAATTTTGTTTATCAAAAGTAATATAGAATGTAAATAATAGATTAATTCATAAACCAAGGAATAAATATAACAAATTAATTCCTCAAATAAAGGAGAAAACCATTTTGATTTTTTTTTCTTGTATCCAATGTTCTTTCCACGTTTTTATAACTCTTGTATTTTGACCGGGTGTATCATATTCCGGTCTTTTTTTTTTTGCAGAAAGTTCACACCCAATCAATTAAAAGTTCAATTCTAATACATTTTTTAAAATGAATAAATAAATATTGTCTATCGATCTCATACTCCCTTAGTCCCTAAATGATAGTCTATTTGGTGAAATTTCACATCAGGAATTAAGAATTTAAAATAAGCACTCCGTAGTGAAAGTACTTGAAATGGTAAATTTAGATGGGGTATACAAAAAAAGTAGAGAGAAAAAAGTAATAAAAGTATATGGAAATACAAAATTTACATAAGGAATTTAATTTTGCACAAATATTATTGCAAATTGGAGGAAATTTTTGGTAAGTACCAACACCCTTAAGCTTTTAGGATAGTACGACTTTTTTTTTAGGATATTACTAGTTTGGCCCTGTGCAATGCACGCATTCATAATAATAGAATTTAGGGAAATTATCAATGGTACACCCAAAGTTCGGGCTTTTATCAATGGTACACCTACTTAACTTTGGTTTATCATTGTTACACCCAAGGTTTCCCACACTCATTTACAGTAACCCTAACGTTAATCAAACGTTAATTTTAGGTTAGTTTTATCAAAATGAAATTAAATTACTAAATTGCCCCCTACCCCACATATTAAATCTTTCCCTCTAAACTCCAACTACCTAAATTAAAAACACCCTAATTTAGAAGATCGTTCGTCTTCTTCTTCCTTCTCCGTCTCTCCTCTGTTTATGCTTCTGTGAGGTGTCTAAATTGACTCGCGTTTGGAACAAAATTCTTGGGAACTCTGCACTTCATTGTTGATTGTTAAAGGTAAGTGTTGATCTGAGCCTTTAAATTTTTTAATTTCGCTTAAAATTGTTTGGTTTTTGGTAGCATATGAATTTTTGTCTAAATGGTTGAAATATGGTTACAATTGCAATCAACTGATTTACTGATTTGAACCACAAACCCCTACCATTCCTGTTGCTAGAAGACCCCCATGCCAGAAGAAGCCAGTCAGATTCAAAAAAAAAAAATAACAAAAAAAAAAAGAAAGTAAAGAGGGAAATTCGAGTGAAGAAGGAAAAAAGTGAAGAGGGAAAAAATGAGGGAGGGAAACAATATATAAAATTAGAGGGGGTGGGTGGGTTAGTTTAAATAAAAGAGGGAAAGTGAAGAGGAAGGGAGTTTTTCAAGTTAAAAAAATCGAAAAAGCCAAAATTAACGTTTCATTAACGTTTGATTAACGTTAGGGTTACTGTAGATGTGTGTTTGAAATCTTGGGTATAATGCTGATAAACAAAAGTTAAGTAGGTGTACCATTGATAAAAGCCCGAACCTTGGGTGTACCATTAATAATTTCCCTAAAATTTATTATTAATAATAATAGTCAATTGAAATTAAATGACTTATGTAACCCTATTTTATTTTATTTTATTTTATTTTTTTGAAGTATGAATCTATTTAATATCTCCCTTTAAAATTTTTATGTGCATATTATATATATATATATATTAAAAAAAATTAATTTTTTTTAAAAAATAATAAGTCGCATTTTGGAGGGAATTTTTGTTAAGCAATTCAAAAATTAATACCAACTTAGGAAAGATATTCAATTTTCACGTGTTATATTTCACTCTCTTACAATTTTACTTAGCATGGTGTATATATGTTAACTTAAGGAAACTCATATTAGATTTTTTAAGCGATTGACTAACTTTTTCTTTGATATTTTAAATCTAAATTGAATCCCGATTTGTTTTCGATCTTATTCTGGTTGAGACTTGAATGAGTCAGGTTCTTTAAATGCAATTATAGTTACTATATACTATGAAATAATTAATAATAACAAGATCTATTGATGACTTATAATAGTTAGAGTAATTAATGATCTATTGATCCCATTTTCCATACTCAATGTGCTTGCATGACTAAATGAATTTTAATCTAAATTTCAACTTATAAGTTTTTTTGTTTTTTTTTTAAATGTTAACATTTATACATATTTTAGTCTGGTATTCTTTTATTTATTATTTTTTTATGCAGGTATATAGTACAAATTCTTAAATGAACCTGGTTCACACTAATTTATTGTGGAACAGAGAGGCAGAGACAATATGATTGTTTTATTTATATAAAAAAAGGCTACTATATTAAAATAAAAGTTATTAGGTTGAAATAAAAGTTAGTGTGACATTATAAAAGCTATAAGAGGTTAATTTTTTTAATGACTATTTTAATATAATGTTCAATATGAATAATAATAATCACTATGTTAAAATTAGGTCACTATTCAATAAATGTCATACTTTAAATTCATAATAACATTAAAGGTCACAAAAGTTTTAAAAAAGGTTACTATATTAAAAAATAAGGTTACTATATATTAAAATTAGAGGTCACTACTATGTTGAATACAATGCCAGACTGCTAGTTACGTGTGTATAAACCTTGGGTCCATAATAATGTTATTGTGGACCAGGTCCACGCAAGATTTTCTGGGTATATCATCCTTCAAAACTAGATTCTAATTAATTACTTTCTTCATATAGATAAACAAAATTATGTACTCCGTATTTTTTTTTTTTTTTGAGAAATTATGTAAAATTTTCTTTTTCATCTATTTCGAAATACTTTTTACACTACTATTTTAAGAATGACTCCACCAATATTTATAAATTTTGTTCCTCACAAGCCACTATGATCCTATCAAATTAAATGATCTAATAAAATAACAATTGACAACCAAACACTATACGAAAGTGAGTACGTACAGTGTAAACACCTTTCTGGAACAACTTGATTAATTTTTCTTCACATTTATATACATAATTACATTTGATATAATTTGATAATATTATAGAATTATAATTGATTTAATTAATTAATTTAGTTGACATCTATTGTACAAATATTAAATCTAATTCTATTACTCGTTCAGAAAATCAGTAGAAATTTATCATGCCATGAAAGTTCTCACTAGTTGAATTTATTACATAGTACAATAGTAGTTCAATTGTGGTAAATTTACATTCATCTTGGTTTAAATAACTAAAGAAATGTACAACTAATTCATACATTACTCCATAAAGTAAGATTGAACCATTTAACCATTTAGAAGTTAGAAACCAATCAAGTTTTCTTTAATATTGCAAGAAAAAAGGTTAAAAAAAAAAAAAAAAAGACTCCACCATGAGAATATTCCACCGCCCTAAAAAACCCCATTTTTTCCAACCCCTCCTTCCTGATTTTCCCTACAATTTTGTAAGTTTTTCATTTCTCACTCCTTTTTTTTTTTTTTTTTTTTTTTCATTTCATTGATTAATTTTTTATAAATTGTGGTGATTTAATTTATATCTATGTATGTAAATTTGAAATTATGTTAATCTTTATTTTCTTATCAAAGTAGGAAAAAAAAATCATCATTAATGTTAGTTGCATCCTTGACCACTAATTAATTTTACAAGAATAAAAACAATAATAATAAAAAAAAAATTACTAACACAATTGCATGATTTTTCTTAATATGTTTTTTAAAGTTAAATACGTTTTCCTAACCATGTTAATTTATAATGTGATAAACTTATGCAGTCACTTCCAAAATCATTTCTTAAAAACTTGGGAAGAAAAAAGCTAAAGAAAAATGATGAAAAGAAGGCCAAATTAAGGGATAAAAAAGGCCGAAGTTGGGACGTTAAGCTAGTAACATCAAGTGGTGATATTAGACCACATTTCAAAGATGGATGGGAGAAATTTTGCAAAGAATGTGATCTTCATGTTGGTGATTTCTTGGTGTTTAGGCATCAAGGTAACTTCATTTTTGATGTTTACATCTTTGATCATACTGCTTGTGAGCGCGATCTTCCGATTTTATTAGAGTCAAGGTTAAAAATCGAAGCTTCAAAAAACCCTAAAAATATCAAAAGTCCAAGAATCACCAAGAAAATGTTGAAAGGTTAGTGATTTATTTTTATTTGCAAGTAGTTGTATGTATTGTATACAAGAGTACGTACAAAAATTTTCAAAAATAATTGCTACAAAAACATTGTTTAAGTGGTGTTACCCAACATGTGAGAATTGAATAATACAAGTAATTTAAGGTTTTCTATGTACATAAATCTGGTTAATCTATGATCTTATATATTGGTTTAGTACTAAGTATATATTAAAATTTGTAATTTCTCTTAAATTATGATATGAGCTTATACTACCTCCGTTAATTGTTATATGCAACTTTGGGGTATTATATATTTTGTTGTTACGAATACAAATCTGACAAAGATAATTGTTGATAAATTTTTTTTTCTCTTTTTAAAAGTGGAAGATAAAGGGGAAATAAAGATGAGAGAAGATGAGAATTCTACTTTCAAGCCATCTAGCTATCCTTATTGTCATACTATTATGACCTATGGACCAGGTGCACACGAGATGGTAAGTACTTTCACCTTTTTTTATTCTACTTTCAAGCCATGTAGCTATCCTTATTGTCGTACTGTTATAGTGTTATGACATATGGACCAGGTTCACACGAGATGGTAAGTACTTCCTACAACTCCTTTGATTTACTCTAATGTAAATTTTTATTAATCCATAGAATTTTCCCTACATTAAGACTTAAGCCAAAAATTGTACATGGGTTATTAAGTAGGTTTGATAGTGGGACTGCTAAGTTTGTAAGAAGAGAAACTTATCAAATTTGATATGGAGCAATCTTACGTATCTTAGTTATCTACATCATACTCCGTGCTACTTACATCTATCAACTTTATTTTAATCTTAATTAATATTAATCTTGTAAATTGAAACTAAGAGTATTAATGCTCGAATATATATGTAAAGAGTACAAATGCAAAAGTACAATAGTTCTATTCAATATTCATATATGGGTAATGTTATATGTAGCCCTAAGGGCTATATATAAGCATTAAATATACTCTTGAGAATTGTATAAAATTAGGAATTTATGACAAAAACACGCATAAATCAGTGTTATTAGTGTTTATATTTTGATGATTTCTTAACTTTTTACGATTTTCAAGTGTAAATTTAATGCTTATATGTAGCCCTAAGGACTATGTATAACATTTTCCTTCATATATAGGCAAAGAGGTTTTTAATGTGTTTAGGGACTTAGGATTTAACCTATACTACTCCGTACCTTTTACACCCAATTCGATAATTAGTATTAGTACATATACATAGTATATATATTTGGGTTCGGTTGCACCAATTAAGCTCTAGGTGCACGGCGTACCCCCTTATTTAAAGGTGTGCATCTTCAATATGTACATAGTAATTAAGTCTAAAAAACTTTTAAGGAACTAAAACGACGAAAGTAGCTAGTAGTAAATTATTTTTAAAAACCATCCATGACTTAGGCTTTTGAATCTTTGCACGCAGCCTCTTCCTAGGGAGTTTGCAGAGAAGAATGGTTTGAGTAAAAGATGGTGTGAAATGGAACTAATTGACGAGAAAGGGCATTCTTGGAAAATGCTATTAAGACATTACAGAAGGAGAATTAATGGTGGTACATACATTGGTAGTTGGAATGCATTTCGTAAAGCTAATGGCCTCAACACTGGCAATGCTGTCATTTTTGAACTCATACACTCCGGTGAAAGACCTATTATGAGGTTTTACAGTATGAGTAAGTTTTACATTATATTCTTTATACGGATTATCTAGGCAATGTTCACTTCAACTTGTTTAATTAAATACGAAGTTTTTATTTTTTTATTTTTTAAAATAATCTAAAGGTGACGTACTAGTTTAGACAAGACCAAAGTCACTAGACTAGATTAGATCTGACCACATCTTTAAGAGTAATTACAAGTCTAGCAAATTTGATTACGTATGATGGTTTCAAGTTGTGAGCGAACACATTTTAGCACAATCAATACTTGATATATATTGAATAAATTTCTGTATATTAACTTTGATGGTTGACAGATAATGTTAAGGTAATTAATACCATATTAATTTTCTTATGCAGAGAAGAAATGATGACATTACAAGTTCTGCTAAAGGCTGTCCGATCCGTGTACTTGAATATGGTGAATGGGAAGTTTCAAGTAGAACTCATGCTCATTACTCTTGTTCTTGAAATAATTGATAATAGTATGTTTTACGTTTGTCAATTTAAATTTCTTTAAATCTATGTTATAGACTACTCCCACTTAAGATGTACCAAGTATTACATTTTTACTTGCATACACATGGCACGTCCAAAGTATATAAGTGAATGTCTAGTTAAGAACTTTATGTTAGGTCAATCGGTCTACATTTACATAAGTTATCCATTTTTATATGCAGCCCTTTTAAAAAGCTAAAAATGAAAAGAATTGACAATAAATAAACATTTATTACACCGATTTTTTGTGAATTGTCGATAAATTCCCAACTTAATACAAAAAATGAAGTACATTAAATGCTTACATGCAGCCCTTACAGCTGCATATAACATTACCCTTTTATGTTGATTAAACAACATTAGACCTAAGCATTTAATTAGGATTTTTCATTACTTATCCCTACCTTTTAAAGAGTAATCCGTATGAGATAACGACTCTTTTGAATAGTGTGTATATAATTATACCCTTTAAAATATTTATTTACTTTTTATCCTCATTAATGTTAATTGCCACTTCTTTTGAACACTTAAGAATAATACGAGGACATTTATACCCTTAAAAATATTTGTTTACATTTTTTTAACTCATTAATATATATAATTATCAACAACTAAATTTGTGACTTAAGGTCAAATCGAAAGAGCTCCCCGAACATAGCAAGTTATAACACGTGCATCATACGCATTAGCCACTCTAGTACAATAGTACTCGGTATTATAAAGTGCAAGTGTGCAACCAAATAAGCTTTTAACTGCCCTATTAAAAAATGGCCAAGTTTACGCAACACAAAATAGGGAGTAACTTATTTTTATGGTTTACACTACACATCAATTAAAGTAGACATTGTCTCTCTCTTTCTTAAAAACCCTAGCCTCTCTTTCCTCTCTTCTCTCTCTAAAACCCTAGCCTCCATTGTTGAATATTGGAGGGGCTTTCATCGATTTTTATTGGTGGAAAGCCCCAATTGTTTGTTTTTGTGTGCTTTTTCTATTGTTTTAGATTTATAATAATAATTCTTCCTCTTCTAGGAGGAATATTTCTCCCTCGAAAGACAAGGTTTTTCTTCTTCTTTAGGAAGATTTGGCTCCTTCGAAAAATCGGGTTTTTCTTCTCTCTTTTGAGGGAGGATTTGCTTTTTTATTTTATGAATTGCTATAGAGTTGTTTCATGGGTAAAATTTCGTGCGAGATCGAAAAGAGGTTAATATGTCGATTACAATCTAGCGAATCAGACGGGAATTTTCTACAGGGCTACAATAGATCGATAGACCCCCTCGCCAATGAAAGGCGGTGTTTCGGTTGAAAACAATGGGACCTTGCCGAAGGTCCACTAAAATGGAGAAGACTGGATTCGATCCAAGCTGTGTTGGGCCGAAGGTTTCCTGCACAGTGAACACACGTAAACTAGCCTCGGGGGTGTTTCCGAGGAAGGCCCCTCCGATGCTAAAGTCAGTACAATGTGTAAAAAGGAAGACACTATGCAAGAGAGTTTGTAGCTTGAGGCTTTTGTGGAGTATTTCTCAATGCAAGAATGAGCATATGAGTTGGAATAATCCGTGTATGAGATAATGTATGTGATGATGCATGTGTTGTTGTGTCTGATAGTGTATATGATGTTATGAGATGTCTTATGTAAGAATATGACTCTCTCCTTGAATGTGTTAATATGAGGGCTTTTATACCTCATCATATTTGGAGAGGTTGGGCTTTAGCCCAATTGGCTTACTTTGTGGGCTGACTTTTGAGCAATTGGAGAGTTGAACCTTGACCTTGGGCTTTTAATTGGATCATTTAGTGCTCAGGCCCAATTTTGACTAAATTGGACCCAAACAACTTGCCCCCCAGACCCGATTCGGAAGAATGACGGGTCGGGTTTGATTTAACTCAGAAAAGGAGGGAAGTAAATGATTTAATTGATCCAAAAATTTGAATTTAAACCGTAATTAATGAGATAACAACGGTTAATGATTTGCGGAAGTTGGACGGATAATGGGCGGTTTAATCACAAGACATGTGTTTAATGGTTACTTAGTGGGTACTTAAGAGAAATTAAAGCACAGACTCTTCGTATCCCGTACCTGGAGATATAAACAGAGGCGCGTCATTCTCCTCACTGATTCACCAACACAAACCCAGAATTCTTCGAGAGAGAATCCAAGAATCCGTATCAAAACTTCGCAAATTCCCCCGAGCATTGAGCTTAGAAGCTGAGAATTGCCACTACGAACTCGTAAATCGGCAACTTTCGCTTCAGATTAGGTAAATTCCTTTGATTTCAGTTTATTTTTCTTCGAATTCGAACTCCTTCCCCTCTTCTTTCGACTTTTCTCTTCGAAATAGTCCATGGCAAGAGGAGTTAGAGGTAGAGCCCGTGCTCCAAGAAGAGCAAGGCCGATTCCCGATCCTAGGAATAGGATTGGGACCTGGAATGGTCGAAGGCCGGAGTCTGACCCTGCTGATGGGATTAGGGCGACTCCCCTTTCCTCGGCTCCTCCTCAAAGAACGGATGAGCCGAGTGCTTCTGGACGGGACGATGAAATTCCCGCTGTCCTTTGGGATATCCTCCCTGGGTTTTCAGAGTGGGAGAATGCCGAAGTCGCTTCGGCCATGATAAAGAACCGCCCCTACTCATGGTGGGTAGAGAACGCCGATCAATATCGATTTGCTGAGCAAATTGAGTTGCACTACGGCATTTTTGAAGCTGATGGATATTGGTGCCGAATGCCCTCAGCATCCGATAGAATCCATCGTCCACCCCCGGGGTATGTGGGGGTGTACACGAGACAGCTTCAGTATGGGCTGAGGTTCCCTTTGGACGTTTTCGTCCGAGACTTGCTGATCCATTACAACATTTCCCTATGTCAGCTAACCCCCACCAGCATCCGAAGGGTGATGACATACTTATGGGTCTGCAAGTTCTTCAGATACGTGCCGAACCTGCACTGCTTCAGAAAGCTCCATCGGCTAGTGCCAAATATTCAGAGTGGGCACGGAAGCCATGGTTCTGGGTGGTATCGGATTGAGTCCCGGCCCCAATATTTGACCATGTGGCCAAATGACTCTTCAGACAAGGACTGGAGAGGTCAATGGATTTGGGTTAGGGCACCCATAGATCCGGGCCACCCTTGTGTCTTCAGCGCTCCCCGGTACTTAGCTGAGCCTGATCCCGAAATGGGAAGTCTAGGTCCCCCCGCAGATAACGGGGCGGATCCGAACCTGGATCAGCAACATATCTTCGGCAAGCTGCCGAACCCGGGGGGAAGTGGTCGAATGCAGCATATCCCGGAGACTTGGCTCCCCGATACGCATTACGTTTTCCAAGAGAATATGCTAGCAGCTGTTGGCCTCAGCCGAAAGTTTAAGGATGGTAAGCTTCTTCGGCTGGGGCCGAGGCTTTTAACTACCTCTTTTTCTTCTCTCGCTTTGCTTTTTTATGCTGTGCCAACATATCTGAGCTAAACTTTTTCCCTTTCCTTTTTTCAGAGCGGGACGAGACCAACGTTGGTATTAACTACGCTCGTCTTGGTGTTAACCGAGAGCGAGTTGTAACTGAACGGGCCCCGTCTATCACTGAGCCGAGGCATAGGGAAGTTCATCTGGACTCTTCCCACTTCCAAATTGAGGCTGTTGCTCTGTATCAGAGGCAGAAGCCTTGGTGGAAGAAGAGAGACCCTTGGTTTCAGCTGCTGAACGAAGAAGCTGAAGCTGCCCGCACAGCCGAAGAGGTTGCACGGGTACTTGAGGCTTGTGAAGGAGGAGAAGGGTCCTCCAGAGCTGCTGAAGCCGAAGCTGCAGCTAGAGCAGCTGAAGAAGACGAGGCTTTGCTGAAGACCTCGGTGAGCTTTCAGACAACTTTTTTCTTTTCTTCTTCTTTTTTTTTTTTTTTTTTTTTTTTTTTTTTTTTTTTTTACTCACACTCTTCTTCCCCCCTGTCTGTTACAGTCTGAAGAGAGTAACAGACACAGAGAAGGCAAAGCTCCTGTTCGTCCCGAAGATCAAATACAAGAGTCTTCAGACTCAGATATGGACGAGCAGCCTCTTCTGAAAAGGCGCCGAAGGATGGCCATCATCGGCCCTCATGACTTTCAGCAGAGGCCGATGACCATCGGCGTCGCAATAAGGGAACCTGAGGAAGGCAATGGATCGCCGAGGGTTCCCCAGCCAACACCCCAATCTCCTCAAAAGACCCCTCCGCCACCTCCTGAGATGGAGGTGGATCAGAGGACTCCCGAACCTAAGGGAGGGGTCCAAGAAGAAATCAAGGAGAGTGCTGCTGAGCACGGAAATAAAGATGCCGTGATGTCAAGTGCTGAAGGCTTCACGGCAGATATCGCAAGAGAGGTTGAGGCTTTCGTCCTCACCCCTGAAGAAGAGGAGGTCATAGTACTTGACTCCTCTGAGAAGGACGATGCTGAGACAACCAAAGCTAATCAAGCTCCATCGTCGTCCTTCCCTTCTTTCCAGACTCTGCATTCTGGAGAAATGGGTTTCTCGGCCCCCCGAATTCCAATCCCAGATCACATCTGGGACCTCATATGGGGTCAAAACCGAGAAGGAGCTGAAGCCTACTTCGGCAATTTTGCTGGCATGTCCGAAGTAGACAGGGCAAGGATCTGGTCGCTGAAGGCCACTGCTGGGATGGGCGAATCCAGTAGATCAGTTCCTGACCCAGCCAGGTCTAACCAACTGCTGATGATGCAGGTAATTTTCCTTCATTTCCTCCGAAATTCAGCTCTATTTTTTTTTTCTTATTACTTATTTTTTTTTGTCTTCCTGTTTCAGTTCGTGCACAATCAGACTCTCACTGTAGAGCTGATTGATACCCTACAAGATAGG